CTACCAAAAATTATCAAAAATTTAATCTAAGGTGTACTTCCTTGGCTATGTGATAAATGACGATCTGTAGTCAGATGCATGCCACTAATGGCTAAGTCAATTTGCGTACATTATTTCGGTGGTAAATTTGTACTGACATGTCTGCTGAGCAAAAACTCCAGCCGTCATTAGCTTGCTGTTCGGGGAACTTTTGAACGAGAGAAAAGTGGTCATCTAACGGCTGATTATAGAAGAATACTGTAATTTGTTCCACTTTCCGCTTTTTTTTGCAGAAATTGAAATTTAGATGAAATTCTAACTTTAAATTTTTCTATAGGCATATCTGTAAATTTGTGCTTTTGAACTGGAATAACGAAGAAGTCTATTATTCGGTTCAAAATTTAGATGTTTTTTTTTTTTTATTTTCGTCTATTTTTTAGGACCGTATGAACAAAAAACTCAGTTCGTTGAGCTTTCGAAAACGGCCGATGTATCGTGGCAATCCATGGAATGATCTTGAAACTGATCTTTTTTACGATATTTTAAGGTTAGCTTCACATTTGTTGTTTTTACACATTTTTGCAACATTTATAAAACTGGCTATGTAAATCACACTCAAAAACGTCTTGAAAAACTGCCCCAACAGTATGGAAATCTCCGAGTCACGTCACTAACATGGGCCACGTTGTCCGACAGTCTTGGTGTTTGAAAATATACAACAAAGCACATTATGGTGATATATGTGTGTACCCCTGTGCCTGTACGGCCCTCTCTCCCCCCCTGCGGCCGCCCCCTTCCAGGAACCATGCCACTCTCAGTTTGGTGGCCACCAGCAAGAGCGGAAGGAGATCACTGAGCATAGTGACGAGCGGGGGAGGGGGGAAGGGGGTAGATGGTGACCAAGTAAGGGGAAAGAGGTGGGGAAAAAATCGTTCTTCCCTCCTCCCCCCTACCAGAAAGCCACTCTAGGCCCGCCTATGCCTGTTGGGGTATGCGATGCTGTTAGTTTACTTTTGAAACAAATAGCGAACTGTAGCTGGATTGATTTCCCATTATTAGACCTGAGCCACTTATTGGTGTAGCAAATCAGTTAGTTTGTCCAATTCATAATTCCAGTCTTGCTGTTGCAGGGCAACGGGACCAGATTTTGGATTAATGCATGAATTTTTCCCGTCTCGGACGAGAGTGGAGCTGAAGGCGAAGTATAATCGCGAAGAAAGATTTAACTGGGATCGCTTAAATCAGGTACTGAACTACTTATCTCCAGCCAGTTTTAGTAAAAAATGAACATATCTGCTATAACTACAAGCACTGTTGCTACTCTGCGCTGTTTACTGTGAAATCAAGAGCCATCGGTAGTCGCTGTGGCACTGGGTGGTGATATATTGCTGGGCAAAGTCCTCTCGCAGAAACAGAAAACATTCGAAAGTAACCCAAACAGGTAGCAACTGCCAACAGCAACCCCACCTGTTAGCAAGGCTTTCAGTAGAAGCGCCTGAGCCCACGTATGAGCATGTGAAAATTTTGGCGCGAAATCTGCTAACCCAGGAACGGGAAAAGCTAGAAAGCTAAAACTTAAAGGGAATGTTCCCCACTCATGTACGAGCAAAATCAGGTGTTTAGAAGCGCCCGAGCCCAATTTGTCTAGGAGCAAGCTGATAACAGATTTATCTCTTTAGTCTAACTGATATCAGGCCACTATTAAAACAAATGAACAGATTATAAAGAAGGGGACTGATTATCCCATTTCTCGTGGAATGGCTAATTCCATGAAACGGATATGTATCGTGGGGATTATGTGCTTATCCGTGGTATGCTTATGCATTGCATGCTTATCTTTAGGGGAGGTCGGTTGAGGGGAGGTCGTCGGCGCTTGGGCTTTTAGTTTAGCTGCCGCTTGCTTTAAGCCCCACTTTTGCAATACCACTGATGGAGTGGAGCTCTTGATTTTTATCACGAGATCATTTTTATCATGATTTTTATCACAAGTGGAGTCCTTGATATTTTTATCACGAGATTTTTATTACGATGCGGTATTCATGCTAATTCAGGGAAGAGAGTTCGTGGTGTTTCCGTTTCGTTTGATTAAGAAAAAAAGCCGTGTTTGTGAAATGTGAATGAAGTTTTGTATGTTTTGTGTGTATGTGCTCAATACAGGCATTAGCAGCGCCGACACTGCTAAGCGATGCGCTTTATAAGCATGCTGGTGAAGTGATCAACAGGATAAAGGATGGCGAAATGAAGAAAAGGGAGCAGAAACTGAAAAAGAATAGCCCCACCAGCGATGCTCCTGCCGTGACGGTAAAATTTGTTTTTTTTATACGCATATTTACATTGCCTGTGTGTTTTTACCTGAGACTATCCCAAAATTTTTTAGTTCAATCTGTGTTTACAGCTAAGGGAAGAGACACACAGAGAGACTACATCGTAAAATATCACCTTACACATGACACCTAAGTCCAATCCCTTTATTCTACTATTCGCATAGTACAGGATGGAGCAACCGATGCGTTAAAATAAGCGCAAAATCCAGTTCATTGTCAGAGGCGTAGTAGCCAATTCAGAGGATAATGCAGCTTGGGCGAGTTGTGATAACTCATTTGGCTGGATTAACGGATCCTTCAAAAACTTAGAATTTTTTTTTTTTTGATAACAAACAGTTATTTTTGGAGTGTCTGAGACAGACTTGTTCCTCTCAAATGTTGCATCGGGTTTTCATGAAACATTTCCAGAGCTCTGGCTGCATCCATGGTAAAAAAAAATGAAATATTGGAACATCATTTTGCCCTAGTATGACCAGAGGTATTCATTAATATGGAATATCCGTACTGATGACCGAGCAGCCTTGGTATTCTTAAGTGTGTTTTCTCGTTTCGATGTGATTTTAGTGACATCACCATTCAGTTCGGGCGTTGTGTTTGCGGCTGTATGAAATAGTAGAAGGAATGGACTATGTCATTTGTGAGAAGACAATTTACGATGCAATGTCTCCGTGTTTCATCCCTTAGCTGTATAAACAGACCGAACAGTGTATGCGGGTAGGAGCAGGAATCATCGGGGACAGTCTTCTACCCGCTATGTATTGAACAGTCATGTAACTAATTTGCAAGATGGATATGCGAAAGAAGAAGAAATAGTCAGATTTTTAACGATATTAAAGATTGAGTGGGATGAAGAACACGCCGATTTAGAAGCGGAAGCTGAAGAAGCAATATTACAGTTACAGGAGGAAGCAGAGGAGTAAGTTTTCACATTGTTTTTAAGGATAATTTGAACTTTCCCGTCTCTAGTTGCGCCCGACGTAGGGAAACATCTCAGTCATAGAATTTCCACTCTGACTGTCCAGACTGTCTTGGTGTTTCTGAAATTAAGCATGATATCTTTGCTAAAGATCCTCTCAATTCTTTTATCACCATTATGACACATAACAATAACAGAAATAGTATTCAAAATTTCCCCCTTTCTGTGGAGATTAAAATATTGTAATTTTAATTTTAGATGATGTGTATTTATATAAAAAGTAAGATTTAAAGAGGAATAAAGGGAGGGTGAATAAGACAAAACGGATTAAAAAACCTGAATAGGAATGTTTCGGTCCTTCAAGTCGCAAACATTCCTGTTGAGTATATCAAAAAATCTTGTATGTATTTAGAGTACTTTTTTTTTTTTTTTCAGAGAACCACGACGGCCCAGTGAATCTGGAAAAAGGCCTCGAAAAGAGAAAGCGGCAGCGAAAAAGAGGATGAAAGAAGCACTGCTAAGTGAGGTGGCTGAAGAAGCAGAGCAGGTACTCAGGCAAAAAAAGGACGAAAGAAAGAAAGTACAAGTGAAGAAAATGTGTGAAAAGGCTCTAAGTATGGTTTGATTTTACAAAATTATGTTGATTTTTACAAAAATCCATTATAAATAGAAGAGAATCAATGTGTGAACAATTTTCATAAAAACATGGCGCTTGTAAATGTTATAGACATGTGATGGATACAATTTACACACGTAGAGCTAAGAAAAGAGATTAAGATTTCACATAGCTGCGCCAGGATTTGTAGACCATCTGAAAATTAATATCGGAACACCACACTGATAATCCAGGCAACTTTGAGAAATACAGTTTTGTGATTGGTATGATCAGATTTTGAAAAACTTCTCTGCACCAAAAATTCGAGTTTAATCGTTTCCCAAGATTAAAATATTTCAAAAAATCACGCACATATTTGAAGCATTTTTGTGAGGAACCAGTTGGAAGTGGACAAAAATAAAGGAAGTGTCCATAAAGAATTGTAAATATAGAGGGGAAGAAATCAGAATCATATAAATATGCGCATGTATAAGTATGTATATATATATGTGTGAACGGAATAGCTAGGATTTTCCCTGTTCTTCTAAAACGTCATCCTATCTCAGCAACAAGACCTCGTCAATGCAACGATTGTCACACAAATTTTTCATATTTTCAGAAAAACTCGACAAAAACTTCCCAAAATTCAGTATTTTGGTCGATGAAAAAGCGGATAGTATTACGGTGGAATCGGATGCAAACTCACAAGGATTGCCGATCGTACGAATACCACTGGGAACCACTGCTAAGGTATTAGCAGCTGATGCGCAGCAACCACAGCGAGTATTTTTTGAATGTAGTGCTAGAAAAGGTGTTACCGGACAGCAGTACGTGATGCAGCATCAGATGGGTCCAGGGCAACCATCCACCGGTTTCCTTCACTTATTTGAGAATATCCGCACGTGAAATTATGTTTTTTTTTTTTAAAAAAAAAAGCGCTGAACTCACCCTACTGACCGGTTTGATCTTTATTCAGGTCATAGCTGTTATTCGAACTGTTTAACTAAGAATTTTTCCAGCCTCTCTGACCAGTACCCTGCTTTTGGCCAGCCCATTCACGATCCTGAGGGATTAGCAGCTTAATGGTTTTCCTTTTCGAAGGGCTTCAGAGTCTTTGAAATTGGTTTATGTTGAATTTTTATGTTTTACTTTATATCATCGTGCATGAAACTGGTTTTGTTTTCTATCGCCTTTTTTGGATTCATTTTACTGTTAGCTATTAATAAGAAATGCTTTGTAGTGATGTATCCGCTCAGATATCTGCTTTCTACAGTATTTGCTCGAAGGCATCCAATTCAAGTATCTTTGAATTTATCATAAAATCATATTCTTCATTTTTTTGCCAAATGTTAAGTTACCTTGTTTAATAATTTTTATTTTTTCTTAGCTTTTCATGAATTTTTTGAATTAAACCGAAACTCACTGGTCAAGATTCACGATTTCTTGGAAATCCCGGAACAAGCATAACTCGGATTAGTGATTTCCACACCGCTATGTGCCGTGCTCATTGTATACCTTGTACAAGTCTTATTGGAATGTTGTTTATTTTATGACGATCAAAATTTGTCTAAATCGTAAGTTTTTCTTCTTTCTGCTCGTTAGTTTGAAGGGAGTAGAGGAGAACTTACTCTTTTTTCCCTCCTGTGCTCGAATTTCACGAAAAATTGCATTTTTACCTTGTCATTTCCCAGTGATATTGACTATTTATTGTATTTTTTTAGCTCAGAATTTCTCCAAGAACTATTAGTCAGTATTAGTCTTGCAGTATATGTACAAGTATTAGTCCTTATAAAAATTTTCAAACGGGTCTGGCGACAGTGTTTATCCTTATCACTGAGGCTTTAGAACGCAAGCAAAAGGGTTATGGTGCTATAAGCAGAGAAAAATGGAATTTTGATATCCGATGATTCGGACTTACATTATCATAAAAGAGACCAGTACTTCCATACCTTATACTATCTGCAGATTCATGAGCATATCGCGACCTTAAAGGTTAATATATTAGACTAGTGGTTTGTCCTATGTATGTATGTGTGTGTGGTAAGCACTTAGTTATATATATATATATATATATATTTATTTATTTATTTATTTGTTTGCTTATTTACAGTTGCACGGTTTATCTAAAGTAATACAACGAAACGTAAATTAATAAGGCAATTCAAAAAGGGTGGCAAGGTTCTGGGGAGCCGAAGCTCCTCAGTAAAGGGATAAGAAGGAAATAGCTGGAATTAGCTGTCTAATCCCTGGGGTGGGGAAGAATGCTTTTATATTCAAAGGGTCAGAGATTAT